ACTGTCTTTCAGAGTGGCTGTATCATTTTACATTCCCTCCAGCCATGTAGGAGGGTCCCCATTTCTCCACATCCTTGCCAGCACTTGCTTTCCATCTTTTTTGAGTCTAGTTATCCTAATGAGTGTAAAGCAGTATCTCATTGTGACCCCCTAGGGTTTTGCACCAAGCACTTCCTATGTGCCAGGTGATGTGAAGAAGGTGCAATTGTGGGCAAGACAGATCCTGCCCCTGCTCTCCTGTTGCCAGTGAATCCAGGCTCCATTATTCATTACAAGTCCTAGTTTAGAAAAAGAAGCTGGCCTTTTCCTAGAGTATTTCAGTTCTGTGCATTTGCTGAATTGAACGTAGTTATCAGCACTGCCCATGTTGCTGAGTTTTGATGCCCCTTTTTTCAGCAGTTAATTACACAGACCTTGATATCCCCTTACACTGAGCTTACAAGACACATTTTAATTGGCTTCTGCTGCCACAAAGATACCTTTGAGTGACGCCTTGCTAATGGCCACTGACCCCGTACATCTGAGTACACGACCTGGTGAGGGCTGCCTAGTCGTTTCAGGACCTGTGGCTTGTATACCTTTAGAAGACAAGCCTGCATCACACTGGGAAAGGTCAGGCACCAGGAAAGACTGATTAAAATCTGTGTAATTGGCCACTTGCCTGGAGCAGGGAGAACCATTTCTCTGGATGTGCCTTGCCCCTGCTCGAGAAACTCTAAACTGTCCCAGCCTGGTCAGGAGGCTGCCCATCCGTTTCAGTAGGTGACCTGCAATGGTGGCAGTTTCCTTAGGGTGGAGGTCCCTCCCCATTATTCCCAGAAACTGGAGCTAAAATCAGCATGCTTTCCCCGATGCTGCTAAAAGTCAATTGGCCTGGGACTCCCAGGTAATCTAATTCAGACACACACAGGGGAGGTGAGGGGACTGTACTACCCTCACCTACTGTCTTCTGGGTCAGAATGCTTGCAAGCCAGTGAAAGCAACTGGGACCCAGTGACATGCTGAGACCAACCTTGACATTTCTCACCAGCCTCTTTCTATGCAAAGATGAGTGAGTTAAGTCATAGCAGGCTCCCTGTGCCTCCACACCAAAAGTCAAAGAGGTAGCATACCATGTAGGATGAAGCCTAAGGCTCCCAGGCAGGAAGACAGGTATGAACCTGAATCTTTAATAAGTGGCCTTGAAAATGCCACATAACCTCTCTGAATCTTGGTTTCCTTCTGTGTTTATAGCTAGTCCTACTGATGTGAAATAAGTGATTTAATGGAGGTTTTGGAGATGCCTAATAAATGCCTAATAAATAAACTCATTTTGGCTGAGTTTGCACAGGAAGGTTTCATAGAGGATGTGAGCTTTGAGGAGGGCCTTGATGGAGGGGAAGGGATTTCCCAAACAGAGGAGAGGGAAAGGACCAGTATGAGTGAGTACGTGGTAGTCTTCTCTGGCACATAGATGAGGTGGGCAGTGCCATGCTAAGGAATTTGGGCCATGTGCAAAGAAGCAGCATCACCTGCAGTCATTGCGGGTTATAGACTGATTTGGATTCAAAGCCAAGCTGAGAGATGGTACTCTGGAAGCCTTAGTTGCCTTTTCTGTAAAACTGGAGTGCTAATGCTGTAAGACCCAACTTGGGGAATGTATTGAAGATGCTCAGCCCAATGCTTAAAGCCTAATAAATGTGAGTGTGTACTCTGGGCAACAATTACTGTGGTTGGATTGTTGTTGTAACAGTTTACAGCATAGGCCACAGGGAGTTGTTCAACATTTGTGTACAGATTAAGGAATGTTAAGATGAAGAAATCATACCCCATAGATGACGGTATGGATTTCACTAGCTTAGGTGCTCCAGACAGTAGTTGATTGTTTATTAACTGCAAATGGCCACAAAAGAAAAATAGGGTTAAATTTTGTAATTACTCTCCTTAGTGGTTCATGCCTATGGGAGTTGTACACATGGATATCACTGTCCTGGTGAGAGAAAATTTTGTGTTGTCGTCCATGCGGGGTTTTGATGGCTTTTTGTATTTCAATCTCATATCAGCTGAAGAAGTACAAAGAGCATGTGAGTCTGAACTGCTGCCCTCAGTCCAGAAAGAATATATTGAATATCTCAATAATAGATTATTTGGTCTGGGATGGAAGAAGGGATAAAGAGATAAGCTCAAATCACAGCAGGATCTGAGTAAGATGAGCAGGAACTTTTTCTTTAAAAATCTCATAAGAAATTGACCTCAGGCTGCACATCTTCAGAGCTGAAAGAGCCTTTAGAGATTATGTAAGTCAAATTCTTATATTTAATATTATTTATTTCAAAGCAAAGAAAATTAAGCAAGGCCACATTTTCAGAGTGCATACATTTCATCATTTTCATACTCAAAATTTCCTTTCAGATTAAATGTTATCTCCATTTTACAGAAGAAGAAGTTGAGACTTGGGTGCATGGACAGTGCATAGTCTGTTCAGGCTCCTGTAACAAAAATGTCAAAAACTGGGGGGCTTATAAATAGCGGAAGTGTGTTTCTCACAGTTCTGCAGGCTGGTAAGTCCCAAATCAAGGTGCCAGCAGATTCTGTGTGTGCTGGGGGCCTGCTTCCTAAATAGCTGTCTTTTTGGTGTAAAGTCACACAATGGAAGGGGCAAGAAAGCTTTCTAGGGCTTCTTTTATAAAGACATTTATCCCATCCATGAGGGTTCTGCCTTTATGTCCTAATCACCTCTCAAAGATCCCTCCTCCTAGTCTCTTTGGGGGATAAGCCTCAACATATGAATTTGGTGGGAGGACACATTCAGTCTATAGTATTCTGCCCCTGATTCCCCCAAATTCACATCCTTCTCACATGCTAAATACATTCATTCCATCCCAGTAGATCCACACTGAGTCCAGCCTCAATTTGTAAGTCTGAAGTCCAGTGAAAGTGAAAGTCGCTCAGTTGTGTCCAACCCTTTGTGACCCATGGAATCCTCCAGGCCAGAATACTGGAGTGGGTAGCCATTCCCTTCTCCAGGGCATCTTCCCAACCCAAGAATCGAACCCGGGTTTCCCTCATTGCAGGTGGATTCTTTACCATCTGAGCCACCAAGGAGCCCAGGAATACTGGAGTGGGTAGCCTATCCCTTCTCTAGTGGATCTTCCCAATCCAGGAAGTCTCTGGGGTCTAGAGTCTTCTCTAAATATGACCTAAATCAGATATGGTTGGGACTCGAGCTATTAGGTCATTCTGAGGCAAAAGCTGTGGACCTGTGAAATCACGTATATATCTGCTTCCAAAACACAATGGTGGGACAGGTAGGGGGCAGATAGTCCCATTCCAAGAGGGAGAAGCAGGACAGAAGAAAGGAGTGGTGAGTCCCAAGCAAACCCAAAACCTTGAGACTCAAGGTCCCCTGGGGGCCGATGTGACTCTCCTTATTCACATGCCAGAAATTTACAGGAGCCCTAGTCTTACATTTTATGAAAAAGATACATAACAAATATTGAGAGTTCCCAGAAGTTAGTAGTTAATATGGGTTGGGAAGGTGAATAAATTCAAGAAAGTTTTTTAAAATTTCTACATGAGAGATCCATGTGATTTTTTTTAAAGGGAAACTAAGATCTTTTTGAAGTCTTAGGAAGCCACCCCTGCCCTCCGATGATGGAGGCCAAGAGATTCTCAACTTCACCCCAGAGGAGTGCTGCTTAGGACTCCCGTATTTGAACGAAAACCAGCATCCTGTCTGGGCTCCGATGCCTGCAGCTGCTTCAGGCCAAGAAGAAATTCTCTGCTCTGGCTGCGCTTACCGGTCGTATTCTCATGACTGGAATAGTTTATCTCTAGAGTCCAAAGGGAAAATTTCCAAAACCTCCACAAGGATGAAAAAACTTTAAAACCTTACTGCAGTTGGTACTGGTTGATTTAAAAAAGAAGTCAAACACAAAGATGTGGGAGATAACTTTCAGGCCTGTTAACAAAAGCACATTTCATCTTTCCAGGTTCTAACTCCCTTTCCCCTCTGCCAGGGAGGAGCCCCAGATGGTTATCGCTCAAGAGTGTAACTAGGGAAACCACAAACCTGCCCCCATCACTATGGAGACAGCCTTTTATTTGTGTGGCCTCTGAGTATTCATGACATCAGCAAGGATGCTTCTTACAAAGAAATTTTATCAATAATTCCCGATGAGCAAAGTTAGGAATCGCATTAGAATGTTTCAGCCACTTTGAGGGCTCCCATCAGCCTAGTTGCAGGAGTGTTTAAAGGAGCAGCCCGTTTTACAGTAACTGCAGTGAGGAGCCTTTTAGAGTTAATGTAACTGAAAGCTGAGTTTGTGAAACAACAGACATTATAAGATTTAAGTAAACTGGTGCTGAGAATAAATGTTTCCAACAGAGTCAGCACCAGAGGTTTAATAGAGTGCCTGGGACAGAAGAGTTTCCTAGAACAGTCTCAGAAGTTTCCATACTTAAACAGGGGGAGTTCTGGGCAAACATTGTTAAGTTGGACATCCTAGCTCTAAAGTTCTTTAGTCTTCATATCAGGTTGACATAAGAAAGGCTGGATTTGAAGCATGCCTCAAAACAAGAGAGCACATTTTACAAACAACAGCCAAACTTCCTCGGCCCCTTGGTCTAAAAGTTGCTTAGAAAGAAAAGAAATTCTGTCATTGTGAATAGGGGGTATCTTCGTTTGATTTGCCCTTCGTCTGCGTGGTTTTTGTTATTGTTTTATTTATCTAGAAAAGCCAGAAATTTGTTCCTGAAACTTGTCCAAAATAAACGGGAGCTCAGCGTCTTCCCGACAACCATCCTTCCTGCTAAATTAATTTGCGGGGATTTCTAACCACCCCCCCCCTACATTTTTCTGCACAAATTCATTTGCCAAATCCCCAACAAACCGGAAACTGTGTAAACACAGAAGTGGAGTTATTGATATTTCCCAGCGATGTGTAAAACACGCCTTTATTCTCCAAGGTCTGGCGTGCTGCTTTGGTGCTAATCCATCATCTGTGTTTGCATTATTGCAGAGCTGGCGTTCGGGAGCATCTACTGGAGTGGATGCAGTTATTCTCCTGCTGAGAAGTTGCATATGTCAAACAGCAATATGATATATACTAAATAAAAGATATTATGCTAGCCATGTGGCAAAGTATGCATAATGATACTTGGCGAAACAGATTCATGCTTCAGTTTTTAACTACATTCTAGGCAGAATGTTCTGATCAGAGAGCTTAATTAACCTAAGACTGTGTCCTTTGCAAAGTGGGTTTGGTTGATTGAGGTTTGGGAATGCTGACAATCACCTAATTATCTAAACTACTCTGTAAATATGACTGACGCAGGCACATTGAATTTCAGAGATCAATACCACTTACTTTACCTGTTTTATAATATACTTTTGCATTTATATGTATACAATAGGGAGACAGTATTTGTAATTATTATGTAGGAAAAATAGGTATAAAGTTGTCAGTTCTATATGTAGGAATCTCTGTGGATACATAAATAATTCATAGATCAGTAAATAAATCTATATGCATGTATTCTTGGGTCTGGTGGACAAGTGTACAAAATGTGCAAAATAATAGATAAACCTCTTTTTGCTCATTTGAGATGTTGTTTTAATGCAGAATTACAGTAGCTTCTTAATGATGAGAGGCAGTGACAATTCATTAGCAGACTGTGGCTTGGATTAAGTGTTCGATTTGCCTGCAGAGTGTGACCAGTGTTCAGTTACATGAAGTGTCTGCATTTCTTTTGAACGCATTTTTTTTTTCCTTTTGCCAGTTAAAATAACCTTGAGCTTTATTTTTTTTTCTTTTGAAGACCCTAGCCAGCAGAAGACAAATACTTCTATGATGTGCTTTTCAATAATGATTTTTTTAGAATGTTAAACTGTCATATAAAACAACCTTCAGAAATGCTATTAGATTTCTTGTTTTCTTCTTAAAGGACAATTGGATGATGGGAAGACAAAGAATAGCCAGTCCAAGCTACTTCATGTTTTGTCTTCTGGATTGTTTTAAGAAAACAGCGGTTTCCCCAGGGTTTTTCTTTCTTTCTTTTTTTTCATAGTTGCAAAATTCTATTTCTCCTTGGTGTAGAAAAAGAAATACACTTTGAATATGTATATATTGGAGCATATCTATTTCATCAAAAAAATGTAAGTTAGTTTAGTTTTTAGAATTCTTTTATACATTTTAAGATAGTTGAAATGTAAACACCTCAGGTAACCTTCCAGATACTTTCAAAGGATATCTCACCCTTCATTCTCTATCCCAGTCCCTAACACAGTGTGAACATCTAATAATATTCAGTTGGTCTAATAGGATCTTTAACTATAGGTTCATTAGCTGGATTCCAAGACCAAAAGACTTGCTTTGAATTTCTTGTTGGGCTTCCCTTGTGAATTTCGTGCAGAAGTCCTTCCATTTCTCTATTTCACACATTTCATGTAGATAGTTTTGCTTGGAAATTACCAAGCTGTTTAACTGCAGAGGGTGCTAAACTTCAGCTACTTTTCCCATTTAGCTTCAGAAGGACCGCAGCAACTCTAGCTGCAGTCCTAGAGCAAGACACTGCGGCTGGATCTGAAGCCCGACTGACAGTGCCCTGAGGCCACGTTTAACCCTGCCCGGGCGAGATGCTGGGCCCCCAGAACATCTGGAGAAAAGTGAACATCTGGCAGGCGTACTCTGGTGCATAGAGTGTAGACACTGCGTCTAGATAACTAGTTGGGAATTCTTTTCTTCCAGCTCTCCAAAAACCTGTTTCTGGAGATTTCTATTTTCAAGGTATTCCTCACAGAGTCTCAAATGTATCATTGAAATCATGAAATTTTCTTTCTTCTCTTGTTGTGTGATGGTTGTGGTTGATAGATAGGTAGATGGCTCAAAATTGTAATCATTTTTTTTAAAACCCTTTTAAAAGGATTTAGATATGCTTCTTTCTGTTTTTGAGCCACAAAAATATTTTCCATCCTGCTTCAATTATGAAACTTGAAATTGCAATAGAAAGAGATGAATTGTGATAATACTATGCTTACAAATGGGAATTCTTACAGAAGCCTACTCTCCCTGTCTGCTCTTTGTGGAGATTAAGTCCTCACTCATGCTGACTTTCCTTTCTTACTTGTTTATATTCTCAGAGTATAAAAATACAATGGTCAGAAAGTTCCTCTTGGGGTATCTGCATTTAGTTCTTGCCTGAGGATTCCTTTCTAAACGGACTTTGGTATCATGTTAGCAACTCACATTGTTTGCCGAAATCGGAGCTGCCCAGGGAAATTAGAGCAGTTAATTTAATATCATGAACGTATGGGGGCTTCTTGCCTGATTCACAGGCGGGAGAGTGTAAATCACATTGAGTATTCTGAATAAAGCAGATGACAGTAAAAACCGCCTCCATCCGCTGCCTTCCTGCCCCTCATCCTCACTTTGCACCTGTGGAAATCTCCCTTCATTCCAAGCATACTCCCCAAATGCTTGCTAGTAGAGATGTGTGAGGCAGAAAGGCCTCATGAAGGACCGCCCCATCGCCATTGTTAGTGACGGGGCCACAGCCAGAACCGTGCGGCTTGTGGCTTAGAGCTTTCATCCATGTGTTTCTGAGCTCAGCCCTGCCACAGTGGCAAAGGAAGGACTCATTCTTCAACCATAGGTGACCAGCTGTGAAGTCCCTGGCACTAGGCTGGGCACTGGGGTCGGTTATATTGTGTGGCAAGAAGTACAGGATTTGTAGCAGTGCAAGACGCACTTCTTATTGCCAAGGAAAAATAAAAAGAGAGCTACCCAGTACTTTCAGACAGCCAAGTTCTCAGTGCTCCCATTTCCGAAGTTCCCTTGGCACCTGCTTCTTGAGTAAACGGTGTGTGGAGGGGATGGTTGGCTTTTTGATTTGTTCTTAAGAGGATCTTTGAATGAGTCTTCAAAGGTGCGATATGGACCTTTGACCAGAAAGCTTAGAACACATGTCGGCAGCCTCTGTCCACCCCTGGAAGCAAACTGCCAAGTCAGATGGTTTGTCCTTAGCTCTGGAAGGTCTCTGTGTGCCTAATTTCACTTCTCTCCCAATACCCGCAGAAAGATGCTACGTTTGCATTTTTTTCACCTCCCTTCTCCTGTGCTTCAGGACTAAGTTGTGTGTGTCTGAGATGTAATTTAGAAAGAAAATGAAACCTTGTCGGAACTGAGTGTGTATTTACTTTGTTTTAGGGATCTAGCTTATTTGCTGGAAATATAAGAATCGATTGCAGATAATTAATGAGTGTATCATGAATACTCTGAGGCTCAGTGCCATGCAGATGTGATTGTTGGGAAGTGAATAACTTGGGTTTACATTTGCCTGACAAGACCCTCGCAGGCATTTACCCAGTAGACTTTCAAAATGAACAATACATCTTGGGAAGAACTCTTTACTACCAAGGCAGGGATACTGTTTATCTGTGACTAGAATGAAAGGAGACAATCTAGATTATAATAAATGTCTTCTAGAAAAGCACATTTCAGCATAAATATTTTAAATTTTGATACCTTTCATGGGTTCCAAAACGCTCTATAATATACACCCACAGAGATGCTTATATTAAAGTTCAGTTTTCTCCACTACTAATATACAACAAGGTGTCAACTTGTGCCACCCACTGAAAACTATTTAAACAGCACGTGATTGATAGTGTACTGGACATCTCTGCTTTTAGCCTTAAAGTGAGCAGGGCCCTATCAGCAACTCTTGGTCGCCACCGCTCTACACCCTAAGTGGCAGAGCCCCGATGGGAGACTGAGCAGTGGATTTTCAAAATCTTTTGCACATATCCTTTCCCTCTACCCTTTCTCATTTCATTCAACCACTTCTCTTTTTTTCTCTTCTTTCTATGAGTTTTTTCCTCCCCTGAATGTTACAGTCTTTCCATGTAAAACCCTGTACATTTAGAGTATTATGGTTGGTTTCTGTCACTCTTGTAAAGAAAAGGAATAGAAAACACTTCCAAAATCCAGCAAATAAACAATATTCTAATAGCCAGGACCTCTCTAACATGTCTACACAAAAGCAGGTACGCCACAAACTGCCATCTCTCTACACTACCCCAGACTTCCCAATTTGATGATTTAGAGACTTTTCTACTTAGGTAGATGGTCCTGTTTTTGCCGAATTCAGCACGTTCATTGAACAATTTCTTGGAGCCAAATGCCAACTCCACTGCATTTCTGCTTGGTAAGGTTTGGTGGCCTTGGCACAGGGCAGGAGTTGTTGATTCATTGACCCTTAAACAGATGATAAATCTAGAAGTTGGACAGTAGTCCTAGATTGCCTTAATAGAACTTCTGCGGGGAATCAGTGGCTCCAACACTTACGGGAAATCTACAAAAAGGCCACTGTCTAAACTCTCGTTAAGAAAGGCTCGGGAAGAACCTGGGGTAGCAGGAACTACTCAGAGATAATGTGTGAGTCGGCCAGAAAGGACTTTGAATGCTAGATGTGGAATTCATCAACTTGCGGAGTGGTTCTGCTTCTTGAGACCCCTGTTTCTTGCTGCTGCTTTCACTCTAAATGCCTGGTGTGTTGTATCGTGAGCATCTTTTGAGATGATTCAGTTCCCCATGGGACCGCAGCAGAGCCCATCTGCTCTGATGCACTCCATCACTCTGATTGTATATATTTCATTCATGTGCATTTATGCAATCCTACATCTGTATATTTTTTTCATTGATAACAGGATTTTAATTGTAATTCCACCTTCCTTCAGCAGAATATAAAATGCTCCAAGAGGGCTACCAAAGGCAGCTCTGATGTATCTTCTGCAGAGAGTTGTCTTGGTGCAAGACAAGCTCAAGTTTCAGGTGAAAATTCCAGCAGCCGGAGGACCCTCCACCTGAGAGAACTGATTCTGTCTGAGACAAAGAAAAATGAGTCTAGACAGGAGTTTGTCACTACAGCCATACTTCTTTCTACTGCTCTTCCTCCAAAGACCGTGGTGTGTTTCACACACAGAATTTAAGACAGTCTGGCGATAATCACTATTTTCTGTATAAAATAGTTTTTAATTAAATGAGTTTTTTAATATATATAATAGATAATATTTAAGTTGAGGTGTGGTCGTGATCAATCTCCTGACTTACACATCAGGCATATTTTGATTTGAGATAGCGGTATCTATTTGTTATTGCTCAACTAGAATAACCTCAGTCCCCAACTGCAATGTATATTAGTTAAGGCGTCTTTTTAAAAGACAGGATTTTCATGCTCAAAAGATGGAAAAGGAAATAAGAAAAAAAGGCCCAAAATAGGTGCATTTAATTCTCCCCAATTTAAATTTACATGGTACATCTTTAAAGCGATAATGATAGTCCTTTTTTCCCCCTCATCAGGAACGCTTCCATCAATGAGTTTCTTTAATGTCGATGATGCTTGGTGCAGTTTGAGGGAATCTGTATTTAGTCAGAGACTGCTTCAATAGAATGACCTGCCAGATGGGCCCCATAACAAAGCACGGAGGCATCAAACCACCACAGACATTTGGTGCTTAGAATAATAAAAAGACTATAAAATTAGATTAGTTGAGTCTAATTTGGAATTGGTATATTCCCCATGCACCCTCACTGCTCTTGGGCAGATAAAGCCTAAAGATTTAGCACTGTGTCAGAGCGGAAGACTGCAACTTCCAGTAAAAGGGAGACAGGGAGAGGGAGCGAGGGGGAAGAAAGCATTCTGGGAGGTCACCGAGGGCAGAGCAGTGACCTCCAATGATTTACAGGCCTTTAACTTAATGAAATTGTTTCAGTGACATGACGGTAAGAGCTCGTAATGGATTGGATGCCCTAATGTAATGAAATTACTCCCTTCTGCCTAAAAAAAAAAAAGCGCAATTAATATTTGCCGAGACCTGACAGCCTTTGGTGCGCTCGTCTGTGTAGTCCCTGAGACAGTCAGGAGGAGAGGCAGCAGCGTGGCAGACAGGCTGGCTCTGCACGAGCTGCTGGCGGGCGAGCAGAGCCGGCGAGGGCGGAGGGGCCGGCGCTCCGCTATCGCTGCCTGGTGTGCGTGCGCGTGTGTGTGTGTGTGTGTGTGTGTGTGTGTGTGTGTGTGTGTGTGTGTCCGTCCGGGTGAGGAAGAGACCGGGGGAGTGTGTGTGCCCGGGGGTCCGTGTGGATGCATTTCTGTGTCTTCTGCTGCAGTGCTATTAAAATTGGGAACTGGGAGATCCCTCCAGCTCACCTTGGTTAAAGTGTTTGCGGGCAGCAAAGTGTGATTTCTCACCTCCCACAAACTGGGGTCCTGCTAATTAAGTCTCAATTGAGTCCTTTCTCCCCTGATGCTCCCACGATATTTGTTGCTGGGTGAAACAGATGGGCTGGAGGAGACCCCCAGTGCCTGCTGGAGCATTCAGGGAGCGCCTGAGTGTGGGCTTAGAGAGCAGGTTACAGGTCTGGGAGATGAGGAAGGGCTAGCGCTGCAGGGTCAAGGCTGGAATCACCCAGAATCAGAAAGGGACCTTGGCACAGAACCAGGCGGAATGCCAGACCGCTGGTAAAGTCCAGTCATGGCCGTGCCTCCTGGGATCTCATCTCAGGTTTAAATCCAAACTTTAAGCAGTAACCTTAAAGTGACAAGGGCTGGGAGGTGAGGGAGAAGATGAGAGGAGATGAACCCCTCCGCAGAAGACCACCTTGTATACCCTGTCTAGGAAAAACATGTAGCTGTCTTCACATGTTCTGGATTTTCAAATGGGTCTAGCTAAGGAAACCTGATTGCCAGGGGGAGAGTCAGCTAGGAGTCATCCCCGGGTCATTCAGACTAAAATTGGATTGTGTAAGAAAACATTGTGTTTGTTCTCCCCCACCCCAAACTACACTTCCAGCTGTCTCTGATTTGGGGGAACCTGAAGAGGAAGGTGACCAAGCCTAGCAGAACTTGCGTTGGGAGACGTGTGATTCAGCCCCAACGCGGCCCCTCAATTAGCTGTGTGACCTTGGGCAAGTGCCGTCTGTGTTTGGAGCCTCAGTTTTCTCATTTGGAAAATGAAGGGGATCATTGCTGTATTGTGGAGGGACTTCCCCTTTCCAATTTCTGTAATTGCTTGCTTCTAAAAATAATTTTGATGGTACAGTTCTAGCCAGAATGATAAGGGCAGAATACACTCCCCTGACAAAAAAAAAAAATTACATAGTCACCAGGTTACATATCTCTGACTTCCAGAAGAATGAATAAATGTCAAACAAATGAATGAACTGAGTACATTAAAATGTCCGTTTGTCCACAAGGGGAGGTCCACCTTCCTTTTCACCTGGCCCTGCAGGCAGCAACAGTGGGTTGGAGACATCCTCTCCACATTGTGTGAAAGAAAGGTGATTCCAAGAGGAATCACGGGAAATCAAGGGGATGCTGATGCTGCAAGCTGCTGGAAATCGGATGAAAGCCGAGAATTCCCAGTACAGAAACGGCAGGACCCACAGCCAGGAGGTCAGTCAGGTTGTCATTCCTAAGATGGATGGTCTCTCTTCACCCAAACTCTGACCTCAGAACCAGCACCAAATGTGTGTCTGCTTGGGAAAGGATGCCAGCCCAAATTTAGTAACCCAGGACTCCTCTTATCAAGAGGCTAGAGCTGAGAAGGGTAGGTGTGATTTTCCCTGCCTGCAAAAAAGCCTCTGTAGAAAGGGCTGCTGGGAGCATATCACCTTCTTCTTGAGAAGGATGAGAAAATTCCCTGGGAAGGGACCAAGAAATGGAAGTCACCAGCTGCCACAAAACAGCTGTGATGACCTGACAGTCCACATGTTAGTGCTCTCGACTGGGCGGAGTGTCATCTCGCCTCACCAGGAATGCTGCCTGGGGGAAGTGGGAAGGGATGTACAGTCAGACACCCCTGGGTGTGGAGTCCTGGATGTGGTGGCCCTTTGGCTAAGTTATTCTACCGCTCTGTTTCCTTAACTTTGAGAGATGCCCTCTATACTACACAGGATTCACTCAGTTGTGTCTGACTGTTTGCGACCCCACGGACTATAGTCCACCAGGCTCCTCTGTCCATGGAATTCTCCAGGCAACAATACTGGAGTGGGCTGCCATTCCTTTCTCCAAGGGAATCTTCCCAACCCAAGGGTCAAACCCAGGTCTCCTGAATTGCAGGCAGATCCTTTACCATCTGAGTCACCTGGGGTCCCCTCCACTTCCCTAACTTTCTCCCCACCATGCCCTCATCTCCATCAAACTCCTGTCCAGGACAGAATTGAACAGAATTCCTCTCTACTCTGATTATATATATAAAATATATATTCATGATGTATGTAATGCATATATAATTTTTATCCAGATACACCACAACTTGAAGCTTAAAAACTCACTATGAAAAAAAAAAGTTCTCTCTCCCCATCATTGTAAAGAGCTCACAGGATCTGATTAGTTTATCTTCTCAATTCTAAACAAAGCTAGATCAATAGCTTTGTTTTAAAGACACTCTCATTTGGCTTCACATGGCTAAGTACTTAAAATTAATCATAATCAGGTATTCCATGGGTTTTTAATTTCCAGCAGAGACACACAGCTTTGGAACCATCCATCTTCATGGTGAGCATACTGAAATTGGCTGGAGCTGACATCTCCATTTAAAGACCCTCCCTGCCCCACCCCCAGACCTTCCAAATGTCATCTTCACACTGACATTTTATAATATTTCTCTGTAATCACAACTTAGGCACTATAAAGAAACTTGACAATAAATTATTAATAAAAAATAGGAACTAAGTGAGGGCATCATATATTAACTTAATAAATTCTTCAGAGAGAGACAGAGACATCAGGGGGAAGGGGAGGGAAATTCGAAACACGCTATCCCCACAAAGGTCATCTCTAAGTATCTAAAGCTTTTATAATCTGCAAATCAAGAAGACAAAATATAGAGACTTCCCTGGCAGTCTAGTGGTTAAGACTCGGCACTTCCACTGCCTGGGGCATCGGTTCAATCCCTGGTTGGGGAAAGAAGTTCCCACATACCATGTGGTGTGGGGCAAAAAAAAGAAGACAAAATATAGTATTTCATGTATGTTTTCTATCTGACATGAGGCAGAATAAAGTACAAAATAAGGAAAGAGTCCCCATTACCTCAAAGAAATCTCTCTTAAGATTAAGTTTAGGGACAAAAACTAGTAGTGAAAATATTTCACACAGGGTCACCCTGTTATTCCATCCTTTCATGGATGGAAATGCCATGAAACTTCTTTCCATCCAGGCTGAGGTTGGTGGCACTGAACGTAAAGGGTGAGTCTAGGCAGGAACCCCTCGCGGTGAGGAGTCAGGAACTGTACAACCTGGGAAAAGACTGAAATCTGTCCACCTCAGCCCCATTTCTGACTCAAGCGCAGTGGGGGATGTCGAGCGCGGAGTATGCAGACAAAGGAAGAGAACCACCGCCCTCTGCTTTTCCGGCAGCCAGAGAAGGCAGTGAGAAGGGCCTCATGGTGTGGCCGAGACTCCAGAGAAGGCAGTGAGAAGGGCCTCATGGTGTGGCCGAGACTCCAGAGAAGGCAGTGAGAAGGGCCTCATGGTGTGGCCGAGACTCCAGAGAAGGAGCCCCCAGGCAAGTGATGATCCTGGCGGTCAGCGTGCGGTTACTGGTTGTTGCGGTTTAGTCGCTCAGTCGTGTCCGACTCTGTGCGACCCGTGGACGGTAGCCCGCCAGGCTCCTCTGTCCGTGGCATTCTCCAGGCACGAATCCCAGGGTGGGTCACCATTTCCTTCTCCAGGGGACCTTCCTGACCCAGAGATCGAGCCCACGTCTCCTGCATTGGCACTAAAAGTGGTGCTTTTATGTCCGTTATCTCTGCCTTCTCACCACCCCTCCATGAAACTTACTGTCACCTTCTTTTTCACAGAGGACACCTATTTCAGAGAAGCCAAGTAACTGCCTAACTAGCAAGCAGCAGAATATGTGTTACTGAGGCTCCCAGGTGCTGGCTCCGCTGAGGCGGCGTGTGCCTCACCATGGTCTGAACTGGCCCCAGAGCTGGTCTCGGCGAGCTCCCAGGGCCTCAGGGTTGTGCTGAGGAAAACTCCGGAGCCTCCCACAGCTTGTGAGATTGTCATTCCCATTACCCAGGGATGGGTCCCCATAAAGCTGAAGGTAACTCAGCTTCACAGGGGAAAAAAATCATCCTGCTTTTTCACTGACTGACATTTGAGTCCCAGACGCAACTTCTCTTCACTTCTGGGCGTCACCGATTGATTTTGGTACTCGATGCGGCTCTGTTTCTTAGTTGAGGGACCTCACTTTCTATTACCTTGCTTTCAGACGCCCTTCTGTTATCCAAATCATAGACCATTCATTTCTGTGGGTTTGTACACATGGCGGTTCACGTCCTTGGTTTTCTCTGGGTAAGGCGTGTGTAAACCATGGTCGAGTGTGCCAAGACTGCATTTCCTTGGCTGGCCAGGAATCATTTCTGGGGGGACTCTGAGCCTGGGTTTCTAGACCCCGCCAGCTAGGTTGAGGACAGCCAGGCATGTCACCAGTTTTACCAAGCTCCTCTCTGCCCTACATGCCATCTTATATATTTAAAAAAAAAAAAAAATCAGAAAAAAATATTGAATGGAAAAAAAAATGAGTAGGGGCAAATGAAACAAAAAACAACCTAGCCTAGTCAAATATTTAAATTTTTTTTCCATAGTATTGTGGGAGAAAAGATTCTCAGACATTGTCTCCTGGCCAGAAGACAAACGTAGCAGATCAGAAGTTTGGTAGATATGCTTCCAAAATGCTAGGAACGCATCCCCAAGACATTTTCAGTGAGTGGTCTGCCTTGATAAAGCACGTGTACTGGCCAAATCTCACATCGATCCGACAGGTCTTTCGATAACCAGTCTGTGCTGTCTTGAAAGCCTCACGCGCCTTTCTGTCACTTACCATTTTGGAAGTTCAGTGATATCATCATAGGCTAGCTCTGGAAAGACCTTCGCTGTCTCCAGGATGACCTCTTACTGTTGAGATAAGGCATGGGGAGGCTGAGAGCAGGGTCAGGACTAGAGTGAGGCCCATGCCTTCT